AAGTTTGAAGTTGTCAAGGACTTCATTTTACTTGGATCCACAGTCAACATTAAGGAAGCAGCAGTCAGGAAATCAGATGTCATATTGCAAATCTGCTGCAAAAAAAACTTGTTTAAAGTGTTCAAGAGCAAAGACGTCACTTTGAAGACTAAGGTGTGCCTAACCCAAACCAGATTATTTTCAATCATTTCAATCACATTATTTGCATATGCATGCAAAAGCTGGACAATGAATAAAGAAGACCAAAGAAGAGTTGATACTTTTGAATTGTGATGTTGGCGAATACTGAAAATACTATGAACTCCCATAAGAACGAACAAATCTGTCCTGGAAGAAGTGCAGCTGGAATGCTCCTTGGAAGCAAGAATGGCCAGACTTCCTCTCAACTATTTTGGTCACGTTGTCAGAAGGGACTATTCCCTGGAAAAGGATATCATGCTTGGTACAGTGGAGGGTCAGCAAAAAAGGGGGAAGGCCCTTAACAAGATGGATTGACACAGTGGCTGCAAGGATGGACTCAAGTATAACAAGGATTGTGAGGATGGCGCACGACTGGGCAGCATTTCATTTTGTTGTACATTCTCACTCTTATCGAGTCTATTTGACTCATAGTGACCCTTCCTTGGGCTTCCAAGGTGGTATCTTTACAGAAAGATTGCTCAATCATCCTTCTGAGGAGAAGCTGGTGGGTTTGAACCTCCAGCCTTCTGGTTAGTGGTCAAATGCCTTAGCCTTAGGATCACTATTAGTAGAAGCCAACTAGATGGCACCTAACAACAACAATTACACTGGGCGAATGTGCTGCAAAAGACCTGCTTAAAGTGTTAAAGAAAAAAAAAAGGTCACTTTGAGGACTAAGGTGTGCCTGACCCAAGCCATGGTATTTTCAGTCATCTCCAGAGCTCTGGTAGCGTAGTGCCTAAGGCACTTGACTGCTAACCAGAAGGCTGGCGGTTCAAACCCACCAGCCACTCCTCAGAAATAAGGTTGGGCAATCTACTTCCGTAATGATACCACCTGGGAAACCTAAGGAGCGGTCGCTATGAGTGGGGGCTGACTCCATGGCACATAACAACAACATAACTACCAGTGCATGCAAAAACTTAACAATGAATAAAGAAGCAAAAGAAGAATTGATGCCTTTGAATTATGATGTTGGCCAAGAGTGTTGAGTATACCACAGACTGCAAGAAGAACAAGCCAATCTGTCTTACTACTATGGCCAGAATGTTCCTTAGAAGCAAGGATGGTGACCAGCCCCTGGAGAAGTACATCATCTTTGGTAGAGGATCAGCTCTTTTCTTCTTATTGGAACTCCCACGATACATGTGTTAGTCAACTTGATGCTGCCCCATGAGTGCCTTAGGCTTTATTTTCCTTCATTCCTTTTTCCTTTTGCTCCTAACTCTTATCATTTCAATTGTCCTGTCTCCAAGATCAGTCCTTTCTTTTACCTGCTCAAATTTTCTGTTGAACTCTGGTGAATTTTTGCTTTCAGTAATTTTAATTTCAATAAATTCAGCTTCAGGATTTATGTGCTTCCTTTTTATAATTTGTATCTCTTTGTGGATATTCTCATTTTGTTCACATTGTTTTCCTGATTCCTTTAGTTGTTTTCCTTCACCTCTTTGAATGCATTTAATACAGTGGTTTGAAAGTTTATTTTGTCCGAGTTTCCTCAAAGATTTTGTCATTTTATTTTGTTCCTTTAATTGGGTCATCCCTTCCTGTCTCTGTGTATTGTTTTCTTTGATGGTTTGAAAACAAAGACATTTGAATATTATAGGGAGGCTTGGTGGTGCAGTGGTTAAGTGTTTGGCTGCACAAACAAAAGGTTAGTGGTTCCCATTTACAATACAGGAACTCTGGAATTCAGATTCTCTTTCCTCTCCAGAGTTTGTTGTTGCAGTTTATTGTGGGTTGCAGATATTCAGTGAATTTTCCAAACTCTTCTTCTGTAAAGATTATATTCTTTCTTGTATGTATTTACTAAAGTCTCCCTCTCATTTCAGAAGGAAGACTGAGATACTGCCTCGGAAACCCAAGGAGTGGGTTGACAGAGATTGTAGCCAAAAGAATCCAAAACTCAAAAACTGTTTTGTGCTGGGACTCCTTCAATATTTAGCCAGGGCACATACTATTATGGCTTAGGCTTCACTTCTTACCTACATGGAGCCTAAATGTCAGCCAAAGGTGAAAGCTAAGAGTCTTCTTAGGTCTTGTTTGAGCATGAGTCCAGCCCTGGGTATGTGTGTGGCCTTCAAGACTTCCTAGCATACCAAGGAGTGTTTCCAAGTCCTTATTCCATTTATCTCCTTCCTCGGCCTCTTCCTTCCCAGCAGCTGTTTGCTACTGGCCTCATCTGTGAGCCTTTGGTCCAGGCAGATGTGGCTGGTATATTTGTTTTAAAATACTTTCAACAAATACTGCCCAGCCCTGGGAAAGTTGCAAGGGCAAAGCCCCTGAGCCCTTCCCAGTAGGAGCCACCAGGCAGGTGAAAATACACAGCCATAGCTCCAGCTGCAGTGGTAACTAAATGACAGCAAAGGTGCATTTGAAGCAGTGAGACTTGGAGAAGTAGCTATCCATATGCTAAAACAAGTAACACAAGAGCCCAAGATCACATTATAAATAAAAATAATGCAGCACCTTAACAGCTGGATGTTAAAAAAATTTAAAACTAATGGACGATCACACAGGATTATCATAGTTCCTACACCAAGACCCACAAAGAAAACATTATGGAAGATACTATGAAAAATTGTATTAAAATTATAAACCTTTATAATCATAAACAAATTATAAACATAATAATCAAAATGCAAAGATAAACTAAGACTACAAAATTGAAACTTTAGTATTCAAAATATGTAATAAACATAATAGGAAAATGGGCAAAACATATGGCCTCATATGCATTTCTCCAAAATCTAGTGGTCATACAGGTCAGTCCTATTCAGTGTGGAAGGAAACTATCCAGGGTATGAATACCAAAAGGCAATGGGTAACTGGGGCCATCTTGGAGGTTAGCTACCAAAAAAAAAAAAAAACCCACCAAACCAGTTGCTATTGACTCTTACTCATGGCCAACCCGTGTATTGCAGAATAGAACTCTGCTCCATTAGGCTCTTCATGGCTGTTACATTTTGGAAGCAGGCCCTTCTTCCAAGGCTCCTCTGTCTGGGTTCAGACATCAATCTTTCAATTAGTAGTTGAGCACTTAAGCCATTTCCATCACACATAGACTCTTTGGAGGCTATCTCCCACATACATATAACAGTATTTTACAAGGTTATGAAAACGTATATATATATTACAAATTTAAAAACTCCAACTTGAATATGTAGCAAGCTAAGTAAAGTTTACCTATAAGGAGAGAGAGAAGGGATGGGATATGATCAAGAGAGCCAAAGAAAATATGGCCAAATGCTAAAATTTATTAAATCTGCATAGAAGGAATACATGAGTGTATTTTATTCCCCTTTCTTATATTTAAAATATTTTAGTAAAAATTTTTAAAGTAATGAACCAAAAAGTAAATGAACATAAAATTTGTTTTTAATAAGAGTTTATTTCGGTATACTTACAAAGGGCTATTTTCAAGATATATAAGAAAACTTTCAAAATATCGAAATAAGCATTTCTTTGGTATAGAAATCACATGTATGATCTTTAAGTTAAAAAATCAAGCAAGAATTATGACCTAATATTGCAAATAAAACATTTCTTTGCCCATCCATTTGTTCCCTTTCCTAGTCCGAATATGGGGCTTTAGAATTTAGGTGTGTACACATCTCTATGCACAAAAAGGATGAAGATGCCATATCAAAGATGCCACAAAAGTTACATAATAGATAATTAGTTGGCTTTATCATTGACACAAACGACGAAAAAGCCCCAATCAATCAAAAAAGAGAAACACAACATGAAGGAGTTCTGGTGGCATAGTGCCTAAGGCATTTGACTGCTAACCAAAGGCTGGTGGTTCAAACCCACCAGCCAGCCACTCCTCAGAAGGAAGACTGGACAATTTACTTCTGTAGAGAAGCCCAAGGAGGAGTCGCTATGAGTCAGATTCGACTCAACAGCTGTGAGTTTTGTTTTATTGGGTTTGGTCACTAAGGTTAAGTAATATGAAAACAATCACATCATTTAAATTTGATGCATTGAAAACACAGTAACTTCATTAGAACTATTACATAAACAACTTGCAAAGCTCCCAAAGCAATAGTATAGACCATAAATCTGATAAGGTACTTTAAAGACAGTAATCAAGCATATAAAAATATCAAATACAGGAAATATTAACTGTAAGAGTTAACCACAGAAACAGAGAAAAAATATGCATTCTTTCCAGATAATTAAACTTTAGATTCCTGTTTTGTTTTCTTAAGTTTTCCTTCAAGTAATGAAGGTCTGGTTCAATCATTTATTTTAAAAAAGAGAAAAATTATAGACTTCATGCTAAAAATAGAAGGCAAAAATAGCTTTTAATTGTGTTTGTGAACACTTTTATTCAACAAACATTTAGTGAGTACTGTATGACACTGTTCTAGGTGCTAGGGATACAGAAGTACATAAAATACATCAATGGCTCTAGGGAACTTAGCCTAATGGAAGAAACACTTTGGTCCATAAAATATGGCTGAACTTTAAGGTCCCTTCAAATCTCTACCTTTTGGAATCTTCTTGCAAAATGAGCAATAGTGTACCTAGTCTGCTATTAGTAGCAATGTGGCATTAATATCAGTTATGTATTGATGAAATTTGCTTTCATAAAGAGTTCTATGAACATAGAACACAGAAAATATTTAAGGGTAATCAAATACTATACAGTGACAAAAATAATATCAGTATTCTGTTTTCATAAAAGTCAAGAAAAATTTCATTCTGATTATATACAATTGTTGGAAAATGACTATCCTCTACATGTGTACATGTGCAAATATGTATGAGGAAAAGTGAGTTACTATACAAGCATTATTCAAACAACTGATTAATCAGTTGTCAGGTTTCAAAGAGTCATAGCCTTCTTTCAAGAGGTCTCTCCATGTTTTAAGGAAACGTGCATTTTCTGTACATTTGAAGGCAAGCTCTTCCACTTGAGCTGATACTGCAGATGTGGCCTCAAGAAGTTGAGTTAATGAAAATGCTGCCTGAAATTAAAAAAAGAAAAAAAGTCAAACAACAAAAGTTTATTTTTAAAATTCTTATCTCACTTGAAAGTTTATAAGGTAGCTTAAACCCACCAGCCACTCCTCGGAAGGAAGGTTGGGCAATCCTACTTCCGTAGTGATACTGCCTCGGAAACCCAAGGAGGGGTCGCTATGAGTCGGGGCCGACTCCACGGCACATAACAACAACAACAACAACAACAAACCCTTGAATACAAAGCCCAAGTTATTCTCTTTAAAAGTATAAATTTTCATGTAAAAACACAGGCTTGCTTTCAGAGAACCTAAGAAATTCTTAAATATGAAGTAAGCTTTGGGGAAATATACCTGCTAGAAAAATATTATGTATGACACATGACAAATTAGTTATTTTTTTTTTAATAAAAATTCACTACAGTCTCATTTAACTCAACAAGATGACTTGGATCCCGTAACACTAGTACCAGAAGGACTCCATCATAAACAACTATTACTAATATTTGGGTAACAAGGGCATTATTCCACTATCAGCACATTAGACCATGAAAATAGAGCAAAGAACAAATACTATAAGCTCTGACAAATATTAAAAAATCACATATACACACACACATATAAACACATGAATGCATAAAATAACCAACTCTTAGTGTAAAACTCAGGAGCTCTGGTAGCACAGTGCCTAAGGTACTTGACTGCTAACCTGAAGGCTGGCCGTTCAAATCCACCAGCCACTCCTCGAAAGGGAGGTTGGGCAATCTACTGCCGTAGTGATACTGCCTCGGAAACCCAACGAGGGCTCGCTGTGAGTCCAGGCCGACTCGACACCAACAGTGTAAAACTCACTTCAGTATGGTATAACACTGTTTCTAGACAATATATCAGCACTTCATTTTACATGTTCACTTTTAATTCGTCTTGTTCCAGCAAATACAGAAACTGGATCAATAATTCTCAGTCATCTTTTGAAAAAAAAATAATTAAAAATACAGGTAAACTTCTTGAGCAATCAGATAATCGACTTAATTTCTCAGTTTCCAATCTGCCCAGGAGGGTGGGTACATGTTCTATTCCACAAAGCGCTCTCATGAAGATTACTCCCTACCTGCTTTATTCCACTTGACCCATTTAAAGAGTCCTCACAAACTCAAACTGTGATCCCTGGTGTTGTTTTGGGAGTGGCGGGGAAGGGGAATGGTGCCAGTCTCTGCGGATTCGAGACCAGCCAAATTAAGAATGCATACTAGCAATCACCAGGAGGAATCTTGCACTAAACAGTAAGAGACACCATTAGGGACCAAAGGGCCCGTGACTAACCCCTCCAAGCTGAGTCCAATGCAAAGCCGGGCAGCGGCAGACAATAGCATTATCAGTTGACTCTAGGCAGGTAGCCAAGCAGAACACCCGGCTCTAAATCCCTTGGAGAGAAATCACTGCCCAATCCCAAACAAGACAGCAAGGTTAAGTAAGCTTTTGGACAGTTAAAAGTGTTCTCTTTTGGAGAAGGGGGCAGACGGCACAAAGCGCCGCAACTGAGCTACAAGGTTTCGAATTACCGAGGATGATTGAAACCAGAAGGCCAGACACAAAGAAAACAGAGTGGCGGGAGGGGGGGGGGTAACCCCTTTATTTCCGAACACGAACTCTAAAGGCAGAATCCTCAGGGCGGAGTGGCACTTTGGCCGCGGGCGCCCCTGCGTGCGCACTCCCAGAGGAACACAGGAACGGTCCGGGTGCGCCAACGTCTGGCTGTCTTCGGGAGGGGATACTCACGTCTCCAATCTGCAGCTCCACTTCCTCCAGAGGGTCCACAGTTCGGCCGCTGCTCCTCCTCGGAATTTGCCAACCCAGACTCACTGGAATTCCGGGTGGGGATGATGAAGAGGCGTCTGAAGACGAGAGAGAGGAAGGAGGCGGCGGGGGCGGCGAAGAAGCCCGTACCGCCTCATGTTCGGCCATGGAGAAGGGTAACGACTGCGGAGCCTGACTGGAGCAGCAGAACCAAGACCAACAGTCTTTCAACCTCTCGCGCCCAAAACCCAGAGACCCCACCTCCTCCCGCCCAAAGCTCCGCCCCGTCTCCTCGTGGGACTCTGCCCAGGATTACGAGGACGTTTCATCTTTCGGGACAGCCAATGAGAAGCCAACCAATTCCCCTCCGGCCTGTCACTTCTCCTGCGTAGACCTCCCGCCGGGCTAAGAGGGCGCTTGAGCCAAGACTGCAACACCCAGGATGCATTCCGCGTCGCTCCGCCTCCTACTCCTTTTACTGAGAGTGCGTAAGGGATTTGTGGCCCACTTGGCGGCCTCACCACGCCTACGCGAGTGGGAGGTGCAGACCCAACCCCACCCTAAATCCTTGGCGTCATGAGTGGGAATCGACTTGACGACAGTGGATTCCTTTTCCTTTTCCATATTCAATAAATGACCCGGAAATGCCTTCTGGCCAGCAGCTCATGCTCGGCGCCGGCGCAGAACGAAAGGGAGGCGGGAACAAGCAAGAGCAGTGGGTTGGCAGAAGAGTCAAACTTCCTTACAGGAGTTGGTGCTTCGCGGCAGGTGATGGCGCCCCCCGCGGCTTAGAGGTCCAGCGCTGAGGGCGAGCTTCGATTTTGTATCCGACCGAGAGAGCCCTGATTATTGTGAATATGTTGCTGTCGCTAGCCAAGATATTCTGCCCGGGTGAGCGGGAATTCTGGGCGGGAATAAGGGGTGGAAGGTCGAGGAGTAAGGGCGAAATGTACAGGACCACACCTGGGGTCTGTGCTTCCTTCTTCCCTCCTGCCTCTCCAGTGCCTTCTCAGATTAAACTAGGGCAAAAGTCACGCAGTCTGCACCTGTTGGTGGACCCTGAATTGATTCCTATGGGAGTCATCTTTGTTGGAAAATTGCCATCTAGGGTAAAGGTCATGGCCAGAAGAAACTTGTCAACAAGAACCCCCGTGGACTCTTGACCCAAGTCCGCCCACACCTTGGCCCTAACCAATATCACAAAGCTCAGATGTTATCTTTTGGCTTGTTGGAAGCGGAAAAAAATACTTCCTGTTTTTCTCCTTGGTCTTGACCTGACCTGCCTTTTTGCACCTAACCTAGTCCAGTCTCAAGAAATTGATTTCTGATCTGTCATCTCATGATTAACATTCATATACCGTCCAAGTCACCAGATTATGTCTGGAGCCAAGAATTTTTTTACATTGTCTAATTAGGGGCTTAAGGAGCTCTGGTAGCATAGTGGCTAAGACACTTGCCTGCTAACCGGACGGTTGGAGGTTCAAACCCACCGGCCACTCCTCGGAAGGAAGGTTGGGCAATCCTACTTCCGTAGTGATACTGCCTCGGAAACCCAAGGAGGGGTCGCTATGAGTCGGATTTGACTCCACAGCACATAACAACAACAACAATTAGGGGCTTATGTTACGGATTCTTATTGAACACCTGAAAATTCTGCATTATTCTCCTTTTCCCTTAGAAAAAAATGTTATAAATTTAAACTTAGAAATGTTCCTTAAAGGATCTTAAATTCTGTCACAACTGACAACAATTTTTTAATTCTTAATTTATTGAAGTTAATTTTTTCTTTATGCAGTTTTAAACAAATATGCATATTACAAAGTCAAGAATGTTCTTATGTAAACTTCGTAAAAAGTAGAAATTTGTCAAATTTGCCCCTATGTACTAAGGATTTTGTTTAAAGTTCTTGCTTGTTTGCTCATACTTCTATTGTTACTGTAAATGTATGCTTTATGTCTTTTTGGAATATCAAAGTAGTCCAATGCTATCTACCTTAAAACTAATTGAAATCAATCTTGGGCATAGTGCTAACAAAATTCCACCCAAATTACCATTTCCATTTTTGGGGGTGCTAATTCATTGTCCTCGGAAGGAAGGTTGGGCAATCCTACTTCCGTAGTGATACTGACTCGGAAACCCAAGGAGGGGTCTCTATGAGTCTGTGCCGACTCAACGGCAAACAACAACAACAATTCATTGTCATTTTTATAGCCTATTATTAGCACTGCTGACAACAAAAGAAGTGGTCAGAAATGTGTGACGGCAAACAACAACAACAATTCATTGTCATTTTTATAGCCTATTATTAGCACTGCTGACAACAAAAGAAGTGGTCAGAAATGTGTTATTACTGTAACTGTGATATGGTGATACACGGATTTTGACCTCACTTCTTTACCAAAATTCAGCTAAGATTCCAAGAATTCAGTCTTTTTCACTTTGATTAACAGATTTGTTTTCAGAAAGGGGGTAAAGGCCATAACTTTTTCTTTTTGTTTTTACCCCCTGGAGGAAATCAGACTACCCATTTCCAAATATTCTAGCAGCAGCAGTACGAGCAACAGAATTTCAGTTTGCCAAATTCCCAATTACCAGTTTTAAAAAATAAATGATAACTTCTATACTCTAAATAACAGCACATCATGTGATATTTTTTCTTTGAAATGAACTTTAAATATTTCAACTCTAGACTGAGTTCTCCTGTAATATGTAAAAACCAAAAAAACTAAACTCACTGCTCTCGAGTCAGATCTGACTCAGAGCAACCCCTCCTTGGGTTTCCGAAGCAGTATCTCTACGGAAGTAGATAGCCCAACCTTCCTTCCAAAGAGTGGTTAGTGGGCTTGAACCGCCAGCCTTCTGGTTAGCAGTCAAATGCCTTAGGCACTATGCCACCAGGGCTCCCTCCATAGTGATACTGCCTTGGAAACCCAAGGAGGGGTCGCTATGGGTTGGACCTGACTGGACGGCAGTGAATTTGGTTTGGTTTGGTTTAGGATCTCACTGCCATCAAGAGAGAAGAGCTGGAGGTGAAGTTGAGCACTTCCTTGGACCCAAGATCCCGGCACTGGACCTCCTTGGCAGAGACACCGCTGAAGAGAATCTGCAGCAGTAGAACCAAGAGGCATGAGGCAAAGCAGTGGGCTTACTTGGCCCATGAAACAAGAAAGCTGAGTGCCATTGGGCAGGAGGCTTGCTGGTAGAGTAAGGTATACCTAGGTGGACATATCCGCAGAGCTAAAAGAGCTTTGTAACATTTGCCCAAGCAGGGCAAAGGCCAGGTCAAGAGGCCAATGGCCAGAGAAGCGTGTCTAAGGGCGCAGCAGAGACTGTACTGATCAAAGAATTGTATCCTTAGTGCATGCCTGGACCTGAATTGTAGCCTGTTACTTCTCTAATAAACCCCATAATTGTGAGTATTGCCTGTGAGTTCTGTCTGGCCATTGCAACGAATTATTGAACCCAGCAGAAAAATAGTGAATGCCCTGGAAGGGATGGTTGCTGTCAGAAATGGTGAAAGGTTGGAGGGTGGCAGCATGTCTGGCTTCATAGGAATAAGCCTTGCGCTTTTGATGATGATTCTGTCTTCCTCTTTTGAAGTTAAAGGAGGTTAGAATATGCTGTCTTTATGTCCTTTTTACACCTCAATACTAGGGTTTTTTGTATGCTTTTACAAGTAGAGAAAATAAGCTTCCTTGCTGCTACTTTTTTTTTCAGATTTATTATCAAAAACAAGTTACTTACTATTTAAAAGGCTTTGAAGATTAGCCAGGCCAAATCTCTTCCCCCCCTGCATTCATCATAATCTTTAATTATTATTTAATTATGATGATCTGATGCCAGGTGTTTACTTTAAAAAACAAACATTTGATTAGAAAGAAAATGTATACCAAAAAAAGAAAAAAACAAACTCACGGCTGTTGATTTGGTTCCAACTCATAGTGGCCCCTCTTTGGGCTTCTACGGAAGTAAATCACCCACCCAGTCTTCCTTCTGAGGAGTAGCTGGTGATTTTGAACTGCCAGCCTTCTGGTTAGCAGTCAAACGCCTTAGGCACTGTGCCACCAGAGCGCCTTTGTGTGTGTGTGTGTGTGTGTGTGTGTATACACAGATATATTTATATATGAATTATATGATTGAGTTCTAAAGAATAAAAATAATTAGCTTATGCTAAGCAAAAACTTTGTTAAAACCTGTCATCACTCTGGTTAATCAGGAAGCAAAAGAAAGAAAGAACAACTTGATTTCTTCATAGCACAGGTTCCATGACTGTAAAACAATTTTCAAATTAAATTATAGCCTCAGAGTTTGACCAGTTGTTGGCAGGACAAAGACTGTGCTTTGCTAGTGATCCTCCAAATTTCTATTTATCTACTGTTAATGAAGATTGTAGCTGTCCCATGTCTAAAAGGTCATGAAAGATGTGGTATTAAAAATGTCCATGAAAATACAAATTATGTTACATACTACATGTAGAAATTTTTCCTGAACTTTGTTTTGTTAAGCCCGATATTTAGAAACTTGTTCATTTGCAGATAGAAACATCACTATAAGGGGCACTTTATTTCACTTCATTGTCTACTTGCTTACATGGTTTCTTGAAGAGAAATTTTATATAATTCTTATCCTTGTTCCTCTAACAATAAGATATCTTCCCCTCTCTTGCTTTTTTCAAGATTTTTTTTTTTGTCTTTGAGTTCTGCAGTTTGAATCCCTATATGTAGATTTTTTGGTATTTATCCAGCTTGGTGTTCGCTGAGCTTCCTAGATCTGTAGTTGAGTGCCAATAATTTTGGGAAATTTTCAGCCATTATTACTTCAAATATATCTTATGTTCCTTTTTCTCATTTCTATCTGCTAGTCCCATTATAGGTATGTTACACTTTTTGTGCTTTTTTGTAAATAGAAATTTTTTGTCTTACAATAATGATTTGATATTGTTCCCTTTTTTATTCAGTGTATTTTCTCTTTTCAGTTTGAAAAGTTTATTTTGCTACCTGGAAGCTCACTGATTCTTTCCTTGACTTCATCTACTCTAATGCTGAGCCCATCCAATGCATTCTTCATTTCTATTACAAAGTTTCTGCTTTCCATCATTTTTTTTTTTTTTTTATGTCTGTCTTAGAGTTTCCTTCCCTGCTAACATTATCCTTCTGATCTTGCAGGTTATCTACTTTTTCCATTAGAGCCCTTGGCATATTAATCAGATTGTTTTTGGTTGTGTTGGGTGCCGTTCAGTTGGTTCTGACTCATAGCAGCATTATGTACAATAGAACAAAACATAGTCTGGTCCTGCACCAGCCTCACAATCATTGTTGTGTTTGAGCCCACTGTTGTAGCCACTGTGTCACTCCATCACTTTGAGGGTTTTCCTATTTTTCACTGGCCTTCTACTTTACTAAGCATAATTTCCATTTCCAGACACTTGTCCCTTCTATAATGTGTTCACAGTAAGTGAGATGAAGTCTTGCCATCCTCACTTCTAAAAGGCATTCTGGCTGTATGTCTTTTTTTTTTTTTTTTTAATTGAGATTTGGGTGAAAGTTTACATAGCAAATTGGTTTTCTACTCAACAATTCATACACATTTTGTTTGTGACATTCATTGCAATCCCCACAATGTGAAAGCACTCTTTTCACGTCCTCTTAATGTTTACTGTTTCTATTCGTCTTTCTTTTCTAACCCTACATGCTTTCTGCCACCACTCGTCTGTCAGTTTTTCTTAGTGTAGTGGCTTACTTATTGCTGGAGGCTGGAGGCTGTGCCACTGGTCATCCATGGTGGACAAGTTTCAGTGGAGCTTCCACACTAAGACAGACTCAGAAGGAAGGAGTTATCTACTTGTCAAAGAATTGGCCAATAAAAACCTTATGGAGAGTAGTGAAACACAG